GGAGTCCCCAAGGAAACTCCTGTGGTCATTTTCACTAAGACGCACCAGTTTGCAACTGTGCTGTTACGGCTCACTCCTAATGACGCTGCCTGCTGAGGAGGTGTAATGAACCTGCTTCCCCTCCCCCCCACAGTATGCAAGCTACTTACGCTTTTTCCCCCTGAGGTGGTTATTAATATTCTAATCAGACATTAGAAACCAAAGTGGGCTTGAAAACAAAAAACTTGACAACAATATTTTTTTTTTGCAGTTCCCTTGAACTCATTGAAGTTGAATTGTTGAACTCATGAAAGAGATCTGAGGTTAGTGTGTAATACACAAACCACATAAAAGGCACGTTTCCAGAAACGGGTTGAAACTTATCCAGTTCTTGCACTGAAATCGTGAAGTACAGCATTTAGGTCATTGCGTGAGGCATCTCTATCAGCACTCTGACGTCAATAAGAAAGGAGACGAACATCAGGAAAAAGCTTCCTGACAGTGAAATGCACTGAGCCATGGATGGCTTCCCAAGTGGTATTACAATATCCAAAGGACAAATAGGATGAAACCAAAGTCCAGACTTTGTGACTGTCCCCCCCATCCCCTCTCTCCCCTAGGACCTGTTAAAAAGTCGAGCCAACATGCCAGATCTGAACTCTCTCAGGGTTGGGTAAAATCAGAACAAGATCTGAATGTCATGGCTTGGAAGAATCTAGGCCCCATTGAAGTGAATCGACGTTTACCATCAACTTCAACCGTGGCCAAAACAGTCCCACTGGCGATAGCGCTGTGTTTTTCCATTCCACTAGGCTATGGAACGCTCTCCTTAATCTTTCAGCCCTCTCCCTCGGCATTTTAGTGTAACGTGCCCCGAAGATGGATGTCAGTGAGCCAAAATCTACATATAATAAGCAAGAGTAGCTGCAGTACAAACGTCCCAAGAGTGCCCCTTCGAAAAGTCTCTGCACCCTGATCCGGTGGGACCCTCTCCGGGGGGGCGTCTCCAAGCACTGTTAAGTCTTTAGGCTGCAAATGGGTGAAAGTCCGTAGCAATTGTGGTGGGTATACTTTTGCTATGTGAACACCTGTCTCAGGTAACCGTAGGCCCTGCCTCACACAGGTCCTCAAGAAACCCAGTGTTAATAATAATAATCCTGGGGAGGATTCAAGCAAGCCACCTACATTTTGGAGGCTCTGAAGCCCAGTAACTCTGTCTGAATCAGAAACAAAAACAAGTTAAAAATATTCTCGACGAGGTGGAGTTTAGCAAATAAAGCTGGGCTTGTGTCTTTAAAAGCACCTTGGCAATGGAATGGCGGGGGTTACTTTGAAAGTTAGCTTGGTATGAAAGAGCTACACAAGCAGAATGTTAAATCCCAATAGGGAACAGCATGAAATAAAAGCAGATATTTATTTTCCTAACACCGTCTCAGCAAGATCCCAGTTTCCTAGGCAAGGTGTTTTGTTTTTTTTCTTGTGAAAAATTATTGTGCTAAGTTGCCAATGATGCCTGCCTAAGAACAATTGCCAAAGATTTCTCATCCCACCTCTTCCAACATTGCAACATTTCCTCTTGCAGGCTGAATAGAAAGTTCTTGCCTTGAGGAGGGCAATGCTAACTGACATAACAAATTAAAGGGGGAGAGGAATCTGTAACGGATGCAGAGAAGAAAAATAAAACACATTTGCTTCATTCCTGGCTTGGAACTTCAACTGCTGCCCAGGCTGGAGTCAGAGAAGGTGGTTAGATTTGAAAACATGTTTGTTATATTTTGGGTTGAAATGGATTCATTAAGGGGAACACAGAATAAAAAAATTCAAGAATCTGTAGAGTCCTGGGTGCTGACAACCCTTCTGGTGGGACCAGTGGTCTCGCCCACTTTCTGGTTTTGGTGGCATGCCAAGCAAACAGGATGCTGCAACTTATATGGTACGTTTGTGGTTTGCATTCGATATTCCATGGGCTTTTGATGAACAGTCCTTAAAGGATGGCTGATATGAATCAACACAGGTTATTAAATGCAACCACTGAGGACATGCCCAGGGTGTAGGCCACCAGTGAAGACTACAGGAAATAGATTTTATATCCTGTTCTCATCTCTTTCTTCACCACCCCAGCAGCCTGATGGTTCTTTCTGGCCTTGAACTCTCTGATGCTGCAAAGACATCAGATACTGAGTAAGATGGAGAACATCCCATCAGTCTCTAATGACCCTCTCTAGATGACAGAACTGTTTGGCTCGGGAAGATTTCACTGTAGTACAGAGCCAGGGCGTAGAGAAGAAAAGCAACATGTTGCAGGGCTTGTAGGTGAGGAAAATGGAGAGCCTCGGAGACAACCTTCCCCCCCCCCAAAAAAATAACTGTGACGTTGTGCAGTCTATATGGTTTTTATAAAAACATGATAATAAGTGAATATAATGTAACTGGGATAGTTTTAGAAAAATATGGTAATAAGTGAATATAATATAACTGGAATATGCTTCATGCAAAAGGTCTCTTGTAAGGTATCATTACAAAGCTTATAATCTACTGAGTGTGATCATCCGATTTGTATAAATGTATCATTCTTGTATCTAAAACTAGAAATATGAAGTATAACTCTGAGGGCCTATTGTAATTATGTAAAGTGTGGGCCATTAATGATGGTTTGGAATCTTGATGACTCCCATTGTCGGCTGTGTTTACCTGTGAGTCTTCCTGTATATGTGTGTGCTAGCAAGTGGGTAATGAAGTCTTGCAGTGACATGTGATCATGTCACCTGAACTGGAATCCATCTTTAACCTGGTGCTTTTCCAGTGAGGGGGGGTGGAAACCCAGAGGTACAAAGGGTTCCCGCCTTATGCAAAAGATATATAAAGGGGTGGAACAGAACAAAGAGAGGAGCCATCATGAAGAATCCCCTAGCTATCACCTGAGCTGCAACAAGAGCTGTACCGGAGAAAGAATTGTGCCCAGGCCTGGAAGGTGTCCAGTCTGAGAAAAAGCTTACTGAAGCATCTCTGAGGGTGAGATTATCTGTATTCAGTTTGATTAGACATAGATTTGTGCATTTTATTTTATTTTGCTTGGTGACTTACTTTGTTCTGTCTGTTACTACTTGGAACCACTTAAATCCTATTTTCTGTATTTAATAAAATCACTTTTTATTTAGTAATTTACTATGTTAATACCTGGGGGAGCAAACAACTGTGCATATCTCTCTATCAGTGTTATAGAGGGCGAACAATTTATGAGTTTGCCCTGCATAAGCTTTATGCAGGGTAAAATGGATTTATTTGGGTTTAGACCCCATAGGGAGTTGGGCATCTGAGTGCTAAAGACAAGCTGTTTTCAGGTAAACTTGCAGCTTTGGGGCAAGTGATTCAGACCCTGGGTCTGTGTTGGAGCAGACGGGAGTGTCTGGCTCAGCAAGACAGGGTGCTGGAGTCCTGAGCTGGCAGGGAAAACAGGAATAGAAGTAGTCTTGGCACATCAGGTGGCAGCTCCCAAGGGGGTTTCTGTGATCCAACCCGTCACAATAACATTGTCCACTCACTCATTGGCCACCTGGAACCTAAAAGAAACACAACCACTGTGGAGATTATTTTATTAAAATCTCAAATGACAATATACTGTGATTCTGATCCTTAAAAACAAACAAACTCTGAGATCCAATTATACTATCCACTTATCTATTTAGCTAAAATATTCTGAAAAGTCTAGAAAATAATGTCTCTGGTTTTGTTGGATTTCCCCCCATTCCAACATCTTATGCAGAATATGAAAAGTTTATAAGTAAACATATTTTTTTATCCTTTAAGATTTGTTTCAAGATATTTCACTGCTGTCTTTTGCCCTGGGTTTGATCTGAAGAGAGTTCAGAGCAATGCGAGTCTTTCCAATGACTCTGAAAGGCTTTGGACCAGGTGTCATGTGACCAGAGAAAATTCCTTTCCAGCCGTGTCACTGGGTTGCTCCAGAGATTCTCCAAGTGATCCAAACAGAATTTCAAACACGGCAGCTCTTTAAAAAAACAAGAGATCTTAAAGGGCAAGACTGAGCATAGTGTAGGATGTCATTTCCAGGCACGGATCGGCAGAGATAGATGCAAGCACCAAATACTATATCCGGCATGGGAGAGAGTGCAGATAGCTAAATGCTCGTATCAATTCCGGGCCATGTTAGTAAACCTCCAGAGATCAGTTAAGGAACTATTTCTCTGCCGTGTGAATGTTAGGCCTGACATTTGAAGCAAGCACCTACTTACTGTGCCGCAAAGTTCCTAGAACCCTGAGATGGGAAACAGACTTCAGAACAACATGGTCATTGAAGAGGCAATGGGTAGCCGCAGGTCTTGCACTGCAGATTTCCAGGGGCACTTAGGGTATGTCCACACCGCCCACCTTACAGCCCGGCTGCAGCTGTGCTGTGACGTGGGCAGTGTAGTCACGCTTTATCGCCGGGGGAGAGCTCTCCCAGTGACAAAAAATAACCACCCTGAACGAGCGGTGGGAGCTTTATCGCCGGGAGCACTGTCTGTACTGGCGCTTTTCAGCGCTAAAACTTTTGTCGCTTGGGGTGTGTTTTTTCACACCCCTGAATGACTAAAGCTTTAGCACGGAAAGTGTCAGTGTAGACACAAGCAGTGCAGCCACTGCATTGACATTAGCAATGGGGAGGCTGGACTAGACAGGTTAGTTTGCGGTAGAGTTTTTACACAAGAGATGGGTCAACTTCAGAGCGGAACTTCCCCCAAAGTTTGGCATGGTTCAGGTTTGGAGTCCTGGTTTTGATTCATTTCTAATGCACACACCGTAAAGAGTTAACACATCCATATTCATACACAATAGAGGCTGAAAGGCCCAGGGAAAACTTTGCAAAGGGAAGGAAATTTGCCCCTGGGCAGAGGGCCAGCACAAGACCTATGCATCACTTAACCTTTGCATCTTTTTAACCTCTAAAAGAAATGGGGCTATATGCAGAATTTAAAGGACAGTGACATTAACAAACAAAGCACGCCCCACCATGGAGAGCTTCAAAAGCCAACACTCCCACGGGCAAGGGAATAACCAAGTTTGTTTCGGTTCCCAATGAAAGACATAAAACCCATGTAGGTGTCGATCAGGAGGGGTTGATTCAGGACCACAACACCGCTGGTTTTGCCTGGCGCCGGGTTCTTGCTCTGGGCGGTCTGAACGGCCCGGACCAACTGAGCAGCGAACTCGGACATCTGTGGAAGGAAGGAGGAGATGACAAGAGTGAGAATTATGTGAAGTTCTAAGGAATGAGCTGCATGTTGTGTTTGGCTTCCTTTCTCTAAGCTTCAGTTGCTGAAAGGAAATCAACCTGTCTCGTCCATGCAGTGAGCGCTCAACTGTCTGCAGTAAATAACCCGTGTAACTGAATCCTCCTCAGTTTGCTATGGATGCATATATACAAGCACCCCTCTCCCTCCTCCGCCCCCAAATAACATTCCTCTGTCCACCCCAGTGGAAAAATGGCAGAGGCCCAAGGGTTAAAGATTTTAATACCAACGTCTGGGTCTCTGGGCTGCCCAGACCTGCAGAAGAGCTCTGTGGAAGCTCGGAAGCTGGTCTCTCTCACCAATAGAAGTTGGTCCCATAACAAATAATACCTCCCCCACCCACCTTGTCTCTCTAAGCTCTAGGGATCCACTTCTTATGCATGCAAGGCAGGGACTTTTTGTAGAGGATCAAGGACCAGAGAGATCAGGAAGTGACCTCCAGCCCTTAAAGCCATCCAGAGAATGTGAAGGAGCCAAGCAAGGTGCATAAAAAACAAGACAGACTGTGTGGAAAGCTGACACGGGAAGCCGAAATAGGTGAGAAAGTGGTGACAATGGAGACAAGGAAGAGGGAGAAAGTTTGTCCAGTGCGAATGGAACTGAACACCAGGCGTATAGGCTCATTAATCACAGTCAGAGCTGCCAGGAAGGAGCTTTGAAGAAAGTAGATTTGTGTAAAAGTGAGCTGAGAATCCTCCAAGCGAAACATCTGTGGTATAACAGAAAGAGAGAGAAGGCTCCTTGCCTCATAGCCAGAGCGACAAGAACGCCAGTGAGCCAAGTGAGGCCCAGCGTTGTCTCGATTTGGAGAGACTATGATTTAGGAATGAAGAGGGCAAATAGTAAAGTGGGGGGAAACTACAAATGTTAAAAAAGAAGGGGGAAAAGATTTCAAAGTGGACCCACGACTAGAACCCCAGGTTGGGAGCTTGTCTCTCTAGAATGGGCAAAACCAAAACCCAGGATCCAAACATTCCCAGACTTGGGGCTTGGGCTCCGGATCCCAAAGTTGGAAGAGCGTTTGGATTCAGTGCTCAGATTAGACCCACAGCAATAGGTTCAAGCAATGAGCTCGGATCCAGACTCAGGTTCTGATCCGGGCCTCTGTTTCAGGCCCATTTCTCTTTTTAAGCAAACGCAGGGCTGGTGAGGCATTCCGGGCCGACGGCGCTGGAGACCGATGTGTTGTTTCTCCACAGGACTGGTACAGCCTGGGATGTGTCAGAACAACGCACCGCCACCCCTGTGCTTCATCGCTGACCTGGAGGGGAGGGGAGGGGAGGGGAGGCCAGGCCCCAAAGCCATTGCTTGCTCTGTTCAGACTCCCAGTTAGCGACAATTGGAGCGGTGGATTTTCTTAAATGGACACCTCTCCGGGAGCAACTGGACTCAGACGGCCCCCTCACTGAACCCTTCTCACACAGACAGCAACTTCCAGCTGCTGCAGACGTCAGCCTCACCCCAAGCCCTAGATCTGAACCCCCCCCCCCACCCCCAGCATTTGTGTATATGGGGGCAGGTCAGCAACTGAACCTGGATCCAAAATTGACAGCTGTGCCCTATCCCCATCGTCAGCTGAACCAATACCTAGCATCCAAACAAGTCCACCCCCGCCCAGTGCTGGAGTCCTAACCCAAGATGTGTGGGAATGCCCTTCCGGTACTGTCACTCGTGAATGAAGGTAACGCAAACCGGGACAGCTTCTCCTGCCTGCAGGGAGCCCCATGCACCCAGTGACAGGAGCTGCCACACTTGCCCTGAGTGCCTTTGCACCGCTCGCCGGGGACTACGCCACACTCCAACACCTCCACGGGCTCCCCTTAGCACTGAGTGATCCATCAGCAGCACCAATCTCCGGATGAGCCCCTGGAACCCCCTGGCAGTGGGCAGAGATCTCTCCCCACTATCAGCATGGAGCAGCGAGCAAGCCGCACCGATCCCGGCATGCTGCTAAATACAGCTCCACCCGGCACCAGTTCTCTCAGTGTATTGTGGGGACAATTAAGAAATTTGGGCCCCAAACAAACATGCCTTTCACCTTCCAGACATTCCACAACTATGCATTTCACCTGCTATCCGAAGAACCCATGCTCCATACCTGGCAGATGGCACTGAACCTTTCGCTGCTGTTCTTCACTGGATGTTCTGTGAAAGTTGCATAAGGGATATCCGTGGCCCATGGATTCCAACGGGACAGGGCAGATGGCTCTTTCAGATTATCCCAGTAGATTCTCAGGCCTTCTCCCTCCCTCCTGGAGAACGAGCAATTGAGACAGAGAAAGGTGCATTACATCAGGCAACTCGTAACAGAAAGGTTATCAATCATTCTGAACAGGTAGCTTTTTTGGAAAAGGGGTGATTTGATCACAGTCTATAGGTATCTACATGGGGAATAAATATTTTATAATGGGCTCTTCTCTCTAGCAGAGAAAGGTCTAACACGACCTTATGGCTGGAAGTTGAAGCTAGACAAATTCAGACTGAAAATAAGGCATGCCTTTTTGACAGCAAGAGCAATTAACCAGTGGAACAATTTACCAAGGCTTATTCATAGAGTCTAGGGCTGGAAGGGACCTCGAGAGGATTCTCCATCACAGACAATTTTAAAATTAAAACGGGATGTTTTCCTAAAAGCTCTGCTCTAGGAATTATTATGGGGAAGTTCTCCGGACTGTGTTCTACAGGAGGTCAGACTAGATGATCACAATGGTCCCTTCTGGCCTGGGAATCTCTGACTCTGTGAATCATATTCTCGGGCAGCAGACTGTGAGTGCAATTTGAGTAGAAAAGTGCATGATATGAACGACCTGATTCTCCAAGGAGTTTTAAATATCACCAAGTACTGATGCCTTTGGTTTTCTTTTACTTTCAAACTTGATAGAGTTACAGAGCCCTAAATGCAAAGTTAGGTGCTAAATTTTTGTAGGGACGAGGACTGGGAGTCATAGAACCCTGGGTTCTAATCCCTGCTGAGAGGCAATCATGACCATATCTGGGGTGGACAGTCCCATCTTTCAAACAAGAAAGTTAGTGCTTTCTGCTGCATTCCTCCAAAAAGCTCTCCAACGTCACTACATTTCAGTGCAGTTAAAAGTTGTCTCCCCCTTTTCTTCTCACATATTGTCTCTGTTCATGGCGTGAGGGCACCCCAGTGCTATAAACCACTGGATAGGGTTGGTGATTAGCTTTCAGAACATGAGTGTTGGTAGTTATAGACCTCATCCTGGGCAAATTGGTCACTTGATCAGTGGAGTTAAAAAAGAACGTCTCTTAAAAACGATGGGCCCAAAACACAAGCAGTCACACAAACTCCCTCCAATTCCAGGATATGAAATACCTTGTTTTGCAAAACCAGAACATCCTAAAACCAAATCCTACATCGGAGCTGAAGTCACTGGAGTTCCACCAGCATAAAACCAGAGCAGTCCAGTGGAGAATCAGGCCGATTGTTAATTATAGCTCTATTTGTAAATGTCAAAGCACTTGCCCGAGGTCAAAGCGTGTACTTAAAGTTAATAATGTGCTTAAATGTGTCGCTGAATCAGGGCTTCTAGGGATACCGTGTTATGTACAGTTTAGCCTGCAATGTGCCCTCATGGCCAGCAGTGCCTCTGCCGTGCCCTGCTAATGATTTCTCCCTCAACAGGCTTCCGTGACAAACTCCACACCGGCTTTTCTTGCCCATTCCCCAGCCCTTCCCCGGGGTCCGAATTGATTCACATAAATAAAGCTCCAAGATTAAGTCTTAAGTCCCTAGACACCGTCCACTGGTTTTACTCTCATGTTGGCTCAGTCCCAGGCCTGTAATCTCACTAGGGAAAATAATCATCCTAGGTCTTTCGGCTGGAGTCTGCTCACTCCCAACACTCTCCGATTCACCCTACTCCCAGGCCTTCCCGCCTGGGCCTTGCCTGCTAGAGCCTCATGTTTCCAGCCCCCAGGTAACAGGGTCTTTCTTACTTCCTGCAGTTTCCTGAGCTTCCCCCTTCACTGCAGCCACCTGCTGCCCTTCAAAGGGAATTACCAGATCCAGTCCCAGTGTGCCTCGGGGGTAATCAGAGTTGGCTAGCCCCAAGCCCTGCAGCCCTTAAGGGGCGAGCCGGCCTGCTATGTACATATATAAAAGGAAACATATGGTGGTGAGGAGTGGGTTTGCAGGCCCAAGTTTTGGTCTGGCCCCCTTACAAGTATGCCAGTGGAAGCTGAGGGCAGTCGTGACCTCACACAATCAGGTCCTTGGTTTGTAGGTACCACGGCACAGGCACAATAATGTGCCCAGGTAATCTCGTGTTCCCAGGACAAGATTACAATCCCCTGGCTGGAGAGTGACTGTGAGCAGACACCAAGGTGGGAAATACAATGAGAAGTTCACCCGGCCCAACCGTTCTGAAAGGTGAGTTTATGGTTTCATTCGTGGTTCTTAATTCAAACGGCGGCCAGCAATTCAGCCAACCCTTTTTAACCAGATCCCTTCTACGTGTTCGTTAGCTATACAATATGTAGGTAATGGAACCGGAAGGCGTATTGTTCTAAACCTCTGAAACCAGCCCAGAACAGGAGAAGGTCTTTCTATTCAGCTATAAATTAAAACCTGGGCTTTCAGGAAAGAAAAGCTAGTACCTACCTGCTCTGCCACCGCAGTGCTTCAGAGTTTCCTGTCTTTAGGAACCCTAGCCCTCTGCTGAGGAGTACAGCCCCTTTGGGGATGTTATTGTGGTTTCTGCACTTACTACTATGTAAAAAAAAGACTGATCCAGGGTTTTATTTGTAGAGTGCACACTGCAAAATATCGTAAGGATCTTGGCACAAATAGCAGAGGTACTTTCAGACTTTGGACAATTATATTGGAAATTTGAAACTCAATAATTTTTGCATCTAATCCTTTTTTGTTTCTGAAGATTAGAGAGCTTTCTCTAAAAAAAAAGTTTTTTTAAAGGAAAAGATTTCAGTATGTACCTTCAACACTGACATTTTTTTCTCTATATACAGCACTTTTCCCCACTCCCCAGCCTGGCAACAAAACCCAAGCTCAGTGAACATTTTATGTGTGCAGTTAATGGAGCATTAAGGTTCAGTCCATTCAGAGATCTTGCACAATGGAATATTAGCTGCTTCACATGTCAATTTGTATGCAGATTTCATTCTGTCCAAAAGGGATGTACATTTGCCAATTCCTCTTGCCAGGTCAGCTCCCGAGTTAGGTTCATAAGCAGGGTCCCAAGTACCCTCACCTACAGCACACTGTCAGTTTCATAATTATGGTAACGTACAGAGCATGGAGCTGAGCTAAACCTCTGTTTCTTCTAAATGTTGAGGTCTGCATGCATGTCTCAGCCCTGATGGGGAGCAGTGGCAATCTTTTCCGCTGCAGAGAGAGATGTACATGGGATAAGCAACCACATCAGAAACGAAAGCATGAGGAACAGTGAAACAGTTAGGCTGAGACTTTTAAAGTTAATTTTAATGGGAATCGGGCATCCAAATCCTGTAGGCAGCTTTGAAAACATGAGCCTTAAAGTCCACACGCTAGTGGTGGAGGAATAAACTGCTCCTGATGGCAGAGTCCTGGCTAACAAATTGTCACCACAATGGTAGGCGTGGCACAGAATTTACCACTTTCTGGCTCCAAATGTCTCCACCACCCTTGAACTAAAGGAGAATCTCCATGGGCAAGACACAACCACCACCAAAAGCCCGATTGAGATTGAGATGAGCATTGATTGCCATCTTTATTATGAGCTGTGGATTGCGGTGTGACATTACAGTCAGCCTTAACATGCCTCACCTGAATTATAAGTTCTAAAAGCTACGAGTGAGCTGAAATCCCTGGCAGAGACTCAGCTGCCTCTAGGTGGGACGATACAAAAAAATATGTTGATCTTTAAGAGAGGAAGAACGGAGGCCCATTTTCCCCATCCCAGTAAGTGGGTAGAGCTTAGTTTTAAACGGCAAATTCTGTCCACGGTTTCACATTATTGTTCGCGGCACTGCAAATGTATGTGATGATTTACAGAGGAACGGTGCTTTAAAACAACTGAACACGGGCCATATGCATACGGTACTCAGACACTGTGCTGATGTCTGTGGAAGAAGGACCTGGAGAGACCCCTACATGCTACGAATTGTATTGCTCATGATGCTCTCATCGGCTCCTAGAGATCGTCTGGTCTGCAAGCGCCTCTTCCCCCTCACTAAGGGCTTGGCTACGCTTGCGAGTTACAGCGCAATAAAGCAGCCCCAGGCGCACTAGCTCACTCCCTGTCCACACTGGCAAGGCATGTAGAGCGCTCTGACTCCACGCTGCTGGTACTCCACCTCAGCGAGAGGAATAACGTTTGCTGCCCCCCCCCGCCGCTGGAGCGCCCCGGCGCCAGTGTGAACACGATGTTGCATTACTGCGCTCTGATCGGCCTCCGGAAACATCCCATAATCCCCATAAGTCAAGTGGCCACTCTTGTAATTGTTTTGAACTCACTGTAGAAATGCGGAAATGCCCTTTCAAAGCTCCGTTTCTGACAGCCTGGCATGCAAGCCGTTACTGTGGAATGCTGTGTGTGAGAGAGAGAGGCGGGGGGCATGGGGAGGTCTGTTGCTGTCTGAACTTACAAGACAGCATGCTGACATGCCCTCAGGCCCCCAAAAACCCACTCTCTCTCCCCCCACATACACACAACACGCTCCCTGTCACACTCCACTTCACCCCTCCCATTTGAAAAGCACGTGGCAGCCACTTGCATGCTGGGATAGCTGCCCATAATGCACCGCTCCCAATGCCGCTGCAAGTGCCGCAAATGTGGCCACGCCAGTGCGCTTGCAGCTGTCAGTGTGGACAGACCGCAGCGCTTTCCCTACGGCGCTCTCCAAAGGCTGGTTTAACTCAAAGCGCTCTACAGCTGCAAGTGTAGCCATGCCCTTAGCCATAGTTTTGGAGAGAGTGGACGAGTTTCCCCAGGGGAACTGGTGGAAGGCCTACTGCTAGAATTATCATGCTTGAGACTGGACAAAAGCAACAGCAATATACCAAAGGGAACAAACTGCACTGATCAGAGGGTCAATCGCTTTGAATTCTGTTCTAAAGCCATGCTGTTTCTCTATCCCCAGGGTACAAGTAGTGACTAGCCCACCTTACGCCCCTCCTCAGATCTCTCAGTCCCGCACCCCCTCGATCTGCCATGCCAGAGCAAATCCATCTTTAATGGAAATTTTTAATAATTAGCTGAAGCCGCCTCATTGACTAAGGGAGGGAAATGGC